AAGAGGTATTTCTAAATATCTAAATACCTGGGCCTTGGTGCATAAGCTGATTTTTAACCTCTTCAGCAACCAGCATTAAGTCTGGAAAATGCAGCTGAAACAACTCCTCCCCAAAGGGCCCATCTTTGGCCTTTTTGTTACCAACGTGAGACTTCTCCCACTTCAACGTTTTAAATGCTTTAACTGATCATTTGTAACAGAGCCCAGACAATACCCCCTAAAGGCCACCCACAGCTAGCTTAAAAAAAACTCACCATCAGAAGCTTTCCTCCTGCTGTTGGTTTCAGGCTGCTCGTTTCATTTCACAGAATAATTATAACTTCTTGCACTCTGCTCAATATCAATCTCTTCTTTCGCTGCCACGTTAAACCCTTCCAATATTGCTGTGCAGCCTTTGATGTTGCTTAGCTGAGCTACACAGGCCCTTTTAAGCTTTCTCTATGTCAATTCCTTCTGCTCTGTGGCCTCCCTGTCTCTTCTCTGATCTCCTCCACGATTTGCCTACATCTCTTGGCAACCAAAATACCCATAACGGATTTGAGCCATCGTGAAGAGCGCTCGTGGCACAAACCTTTGGCTACACTATGACCTTCCTATGACATTTGGAAATGTGAAATTGAGCCCTGCAGAGCCAATGGAGATATTTGTAAGGCTGCCTTTTAATCTGGCAGGCACGTTCTGAAGTACTGCTGCAGGGCAAGAAAGTTCAAGTAAAATCCAGTCAGAACTAAAAGGCCCAAAGTCAGTAATACCCAAAACAGATGAGGCAGCTCAGAACAGTTACTGATGCTACATCAAAGCCATGCAGGCTACAGCAAGAAACTGGCAGCCCAAAGAGGGCAATTATAGAATCAGAGGATCATGGAGTGGTTTGGGTTGGGCAGAAGGAGGGAAGGTGCTGAGCAGAGTTGTAGCATTCACCGAGCAGCTCTGGCAGCACCACGACTCAACTGATAACACTGGCTGCAGGTAAAGCAGAGCAGCTCAGGCTTCAGCCAGACCCTGCTCTCCCCAGTGTTATGTCTCCAGCTACAACTCCCAGGTTACAGCCTGGCAGAAGCAGCATCTTACCTGTTAAATCCTCTGCTCTCAAGCTCCCTGACCGGTTTAGAGTAAAGCTGGTCTTAGCAGCAAGCTTCCCTCCCAGCACAGCTTCATGGGACACCACCTTCTTATTACTGGTCTCTGCAGTGAGAAGAGGGAAGGAGGAAAACAGGACAGAGATCAGATACCCAGCTGAGTGACTGCAGTCCTCGAGTTTGGGGCACTGAGATTATCAGCCTGAATTCTTGCTCTGCTCCAGAAACTGGCAGGTGTAAGGTGGTGGCAGCACCACGGGGAACTTTCTGTTTCCACAGGCAGCCCACAGCAGCTTTTTTTAAGGGCAGCAAGGATGTTTTTACAGCTAGCTCTGCTAGCTGTACCTGCTTCCTCTGCACAGCAAGCCCTCCTAGTGACCAAAAGCAAGAACAGACCAAGCACAGAAGCAACTTGACCTGGCCAGGTGCATCACACACCCACAGCTTTGCTGTCAGGTCCCTGCAGACCAGGCTCCAGCTGAATCCTTCCATTTCTTTGAGAAAGGAGCTTCAGAGCTCTAGAATATGCTCAGCACATCAGATAATGGCAGAGAGGTGCTTTTTACTAATCATTAACTGGCAGCCACTCTCCTAAAGGCCAGCCTCCCAAGTTCAGCCACTCTGCCTAATGGCCACGACGGTGATGAAGACAGAGGGGAGAAAAGGGAAGAGACCAGGGAGAAAAAAAAAAAAAAATCAAAAAAAAAAATCACCAGAACAGCACAAATTGATTGTTTAATGTACCCTCTCGAGAGCCAATAATGAAATGTCTTAACCCTCTTCGTTTCTCTCTTGAAGCTTAATGTGTGTAACAGATTTCTGTGGTGATGGACGAGTCTATCACTTTGAAGGCATCATGTGAAAGTTACTCCATTAGCAGGGCTTTTCATTTTAAAGAACTTGTGCTAAAATAAAAAAAAAAAAATAAAAATCCATGTGGCATTATCTCCATTTAGGTTCAGAGAGCCAACAAAGCATTGCAAGGCTCCCCTCTTGAAGGCCCATTAAAGCTTGCCAGGCTATAAAAAGCTAACTGGAGTTGTTTGCCTTTCAGCATAATGCTTCTGAGAAATGGGTCTTGTCTTTTCAACAAGTTTTCTCTCCGTGGTTTCTAATCCAAGGCAGGTTCTGGTGATGGAAGCAGCAGGGTGGTACCTACTGTTGGTGCTGGAGGGGGAATTGGGCACTAGGCTTCGGAGCTTCTTCAAGGTGTTCACTGCCACGTTCAGGTAGATGTTGCGACTGGTGCTACGTTCATAAGCCACCTTCTCTTCTGACAGAGCCTGCAAACAATGCAATTTGTTACTATCCACTCTCTTGGGCTCAAAGTACAGGCTAGAAGTGTGCCAGCCAAATAAAAAAACTTGCCTGTGGAGGAATTGAGTCATAAAAGTGGAACGTGGCACAAATGAATATTGGTTCTGGGCTCTGCTTAGGTGAGGAAGAGAAAAAAAACCCAACCTGTGTTTTAAACAGTGCTGGAAGAAGCATTTTCATGGGAAACCTTCCCTGACAGTTGAAGGGAGCAGCTCTGGAACTGCTGGGGAAAGGCTTTTTTCCCCACGTCAGTGGCAGTGCAAGATCTTAACGGGCAAGAGAAGGAAGTTTGGCAAAGAGTCACTCCTTGGGTGCAAGAGGAACATTCCCCTGGGGAGCTGTGCAGGGGAAATCCCACAAAAGAACTCCTTGTGGTTACAAAACACACCTCACTGTGTCCCCCATTTACCCAACTGCCATGAATGGCTGAGGCTTTCCATCCAGCTCTGCTTTTGGACATCCTACCACGCTATTCCCTACTGCTAGAAGGCTCCTTAAAAGCCTTCCAGTTCACAAGCAGCAAGTTCTACCCATGACATCTATCCCCAACACTCACCTCTGCTGAACACCTCCATTCCAGGAGGTGTTTGCTGCTGGACCAGACCAAAAGGGCTTTTTGTCCAGCTTGACCATAAGAGACTTTCCCCTACAGCCTTCTTCTGGGGTTATTCAACAGCCTTCCAAGGGAAGGGATTTCCAACTGGAAGCCCCCACTGGGATGACACCTCCTGTTGTCCCATCTGGAATTACTCAGTGCCAGTCTCCTCTACAGAACTGCACGTGGCTAGGAGAGTTTTCTGGGTTCTTAGAAGGCCTTTGCCAAGGCAGAGGATGTTCCTCTCTGCTGCAGACTTTATGCACGAGACACAAGCACTTGGTACAGACCTTGTCAAACGCTTCCTGGGAAGAGGAGCAGAATTTCAGGCACTCATCAATGAAGAGATTGAGATATCTCTGACGAATGTTTGTTGGGACTTTAGCACCAAATTCTGTGGGAATAACAGGCCTCTGTAAGCTGGTGCTCTAGAGATGAGACAGAGAGAGAGAGAGAAGGAGGCTATTGAGGGTTGAAGTATGTTGCTTTGAGACTCTCACATTTCCTGTGATGTTATTAATAGTGGTTTGACTTCCTCAACTGAAAATCTGCCCAAAGCTAAACAGAACACGCAGCATTTCTGGTACTAAAAATGCCACTTGGAGCTTTTGTGGCACCTTCAGCATTTGAACTACTTCAAAACCCAACCACATCTCATTATGCAACTCATCCACCAGCCCAGGACTCCCAGTGGCATTAGTCACAAAACATCCCAGGCCACGTGATGGTGACATGCACAGCCAGAGGTTCAGCACCAGGATGGCACCAAGCACCAGGCTCTGAACTGGAGGTGTGAACACAGGACACCAGTGAAGTGCATGACAGAGGTGGTTTTACTTCTGCTGCTCCAGCTCTGAGGATGGGAGGCCCACTCCTGCCAGGCTGGCAGCTACTCATCACACTTTCTGTGGGATTCCTGCAACTTCATGCCTTGGGGTTTTTCTTCTTTTTGTTTGTTTTTTATTAATGCCAGTCATCATGCTCCTAAAAGGTTTTCCTCCTTAAACTGAATGAGGTGTTCTTCAGGAATAAAAAAACCCTGTTGGACTGAGCTACAACCTACCACTGCAGTTTCCACAGAACACCAGTAAATCCCCCAATCAACTTTCAGGGAGCTGTGCAGAGCCAGAAGGTCTCCCCTGAGCCTCCTTTGCTCCAGGCTCAGCACCCCCAGCTCCCTCAGCTGCTCCTCCCCACACTTGGGCTCCAGACCCTTCCCCAGCTTCGTTGCCCTTCTCTGGCCACGCTCCAGCCCCTCAAGGTCCTTCTTGGAGTGAGGGGCCCAAAACTGACCCCAGGATTTGAGGTGGGGCCTCCCCAGTGCCCAGTCCAGGGGGACAATCCCTGCCCTGGTCCTGCTGCTCACACCAGTGCTGATCCAAGCCAGGATGCTGGTGGCCTTCTCGACCACCTATAGGTTACTAGGGTGGTTTTTGGGTGGGGAAGGATGAAAATGAGTTTTTGCTTTTACAGATATAATCAGAGTAGGTTACACAAGACATCCACAAAGATCTCCTTAACTGAGCCCTGGCACTAACACCACATTCCTTGCCATCCACTCCAGCAAAGAGCTTCTCACACCATCCACAAGCTGCTACATGAGGAACTCCACTCTGAATTGTCTTAGCAAGGAGTCAACATGTTCCCCAGTGCTCACAGGGACAGGAGGCACTTTCTGTGCCATGGAACTGACAGCAAAGGTACCCAAAGGCTGGGCAGGTATACCAGGAAATAAAAACAACAATAAAAAAGAGCTTTTTCTTCCAAATATGAACAACAGCATGAAGTTTAAATGATCACCTTAACTATAGAGGTTATTATTCCCTATGCAGGACATTATTCAGAGCCACCTTCCTCAGCATGGCCTGCAACACCCAGGAAGGCTGGAGATCCAGCCATGCCTTTGAACACAAGAGGCTCCAGGTCCCTGCCACAAAGCAGCTGCACCCCCAGCCAGGGAGCACCACCAAAGACTCAAACTGGAGATGAGAGATCAATATTCAAAGAGACCAGAGCAGCACTTCAGGAGTTTTATCTTTCCAACTTCCTCGAGCGTTTACTTTTTTATACAATGCTATCGAAGAAAACCACAGGAAGAAACAAACCCATTTAATCACCCTAATCAAAACACTGCTCTTTGGAGAGTGCAGTTTGGAGCAGTGTGGTTTCAACACACCACCCTCAACGGGGAAGAACCAGAGAGACTTCAAAGGTCTCTTACCTGTAAGGAGGGAACATGCGCTACCCTTTTCGGCACGATGGTGCTGGTGGTCTTTGAAGCCATCCCAGCTAAGGTGCAAGCCTTCAGAGGAAGGGTGGGTGCTTCAGAGTCATTGGAAGGTGTGACACTCCTGCCAGCAGCACTTGTCTTACTGCTTAAAAGGCCTGCAAGAAACAGAAGAGATATTTAGGTAGAAAACCTACCACTGGGCTTCCAGTTGCCAGAACGGCCTTACTGCAAAAGGTTCATGCTGCAAGCTGTGATTTTTTCAAATGGAAAGCCTCCAAAGGGCTACAAATTGGGTAATTTTACCACCTTCCGGGCACCTTCTGCCAGGAAACGTGTCTCATTTCTGTTTGGTTTAGGGTGACTGAGTCAGCAGAGTTTCAAGAGGAACCCTGTCAGCTACAACGCACTGATCACGTCAGCTCTGAGTCGTCCCAACTACAAAGGGATACCAAGGAGCACTAATTAGTACTTCCCTCCTGCCACCTCTGAGGCCTTCGCTGGAAGACTGAATGAGGAGCAAACATGCTCCAGAGAAGAAACAAAACAAAGACCAGGCTGGACTGAGGGAGGCTGCAGGAGACAGAGGGGGCGAACGGGGCTGCACATCCCGGCTGCTGCTTCTCAGAACGGGATGGAATTCCTCTGTGACCTTCCCCTGGTCTCTATCAGCAAAGATTTGAGTCCTGGCCAACACTACACATTCTCCTGCTTAATTTCACAGCCTGCTTGGGACAAACACCAACAGAAAAGTGCCTTTGAGCAGGGGGAGGACAGGACAGCGACCGCACGTCCCGCTGCCGCCTTACTTTGTTTGGCCGCGGCGGAAAGGGCTGCGTTTGGCACGTGGGCAATCCTCTTCTTTTCTCCTGGCAAAGAAAGAGAGGCCTTTTGAACGGCCACAGCCAGCTGTGCTGCCTGCTGCTGAGCCAGCTGGATCCTCTGGTAACACACCTCCTGGGCGGTGGGGGGACGGTACGGCCGGATTACGGGCTTGCTCGGCACCTCTGCCTGCACGGACAAAAAGGTTTCAGAGCTGGCTCAATCCCCACCCTCTGCCTTCCATTCCTGTGAGAAAGGTCTCTTTTCCTCAACCCCTCTCTGTTAGCCAAGGCAGGTTTTGGAGAGGAAATGATCCCAGCCCTCTGCCAGAATGAAATATGAAATAGAAGTCACTCGGCAAAACCCACAAGGCTGATGATCTGCCCCCTGGCAGGAGCTCCCAGCATTGTGGCATCACCCTAAATTGGTAGGTGGTATTTGAGCAGCTTGTTTATTGGCACAATGCTCCCCATGGCAGTGCCTAACCCACTTCTGGGCTCTCTCAGTGCTCTCAGCTCTACAGAGCACTAGAAAATAGCCCCGTGCTGCCCACAGCCTGCTGCTCTAGTTTATGCTGCAATGAAAAGGGGACCAACTGTTCCCCTTCCCCCTTTGCCACCCAGTGCTGAGCTGTAGAGCTCTGTGCTGAAGAGCCAGTGCCACCTCCCCTTGCCCTACAGCAGCTGCTCACCTCTCTGCAGCTTTGTTTCAGGTCTCTGGTTCCTGAAACTATTTAAAAGTCTCACATCTATGTATTTAGGGGATTAGGGCATTGCATCAACTGAGCTCTGGCTTTTAGACAGGCTCTGCCCCTGCCTGCTCCAGAGGCATTTCACTGTTTCAGCCATTACAAACACAAACAAGTCACACACACGTTTCCTTTGATGTCCAAATCGAGGGTGCAGAAAAGGTGCCAGAAATGCTGTCAGCAAAGAGAGAAGTTTTCTAGCAGAAGTACAAGAGAAGCAGCAGTGGTACTGACTCCTCCACACAACTTAATAACCCCTGAAATAGGAGCCACAGGCCTTCCCTCCTGATGTTTCTTCAGAGAAGGGTGAGCTCACATAGCCTGTAACTCGGCGTTTCTGACCACAAATTGGGGGCAAGCTGGCACCTCCTGCATTCCTGTCCTGCTGACACCAGCTTCTGGATACCAACCCGAGTGCAGCCAGCCATTAAATGATAATTACAGACATCCGGGCAGGCCAGGACACTCATTTTCTGCCTCACCTTCAATTCCTTTGGCCCACCATTCCCCCCCGGCACCCAAACTAGAACTCGGCTCCCTCCCCTGCTGCTCTCGCAGTCCTTGAGCTATAAATCCCAATCTGAGCAAATATTCAGCTTGGAGGGACAGGGCAAAGCACGAGCCTCAACCCTGCACATAAAAGCAGCAGTTCAGGTCTTCCAGCAGCTCCTGGCAGAGCTGGCAGCTGAGATGCCCCAGGGAAGGCAGGGCCCGGTGCGTGCTCGGGGCAGCTGGTGCTGAGCACACCAGACTGGCTCTGTTTGCCCACCCAACGGCTCTGCTGGGGCTCCCCCTCTTTGGAAAAGCATTTTGGGATCAGCTGTCACATTAAGAAAGCGTATTTAAAGATTTGCACATGTCTAAAAGGCCCCCGTTTACAATAAATGTTTGACTTAATGAATTTCCAACCCATTTGCTTCGCTCTCTTATCTCTTCACTTTGGAAGAAAGGGCTCTTATCAAACCACGTGAACTGGCTGAAGATATGCAGTTAAATAAAACACATTGTACTGACCTCAGGGCTTCAAATTATTAAAAGCAAAGAAACCTTTTGGAGGCAGAGAGGAAAGGAAGAACAATTAATTTGGACTAGGCAGCTCAAATCAGTGAGTTAAGTCTCCACTCTTACCCTGCTGGAACATAAAACTGACTAATCTGTGCTCAGCACCTGCAGGGAAACACATTAAACCCTCAGAGAAAACATGAATTAAAATCCCAGTGAGAAAGAAATGTTGTTTTTTTTAATCAGAATATCTTCCTTGTCTTTTTTTTTTCCACTCTTCTCCTCTAAAGTATTTTCACAATTGTGAGAGTATTAAAAAAGATGCTGCTGATACCTTGGCCCATGCAGAGCAGCTTGAACACCTGACAGAATTCCTACAGCCATCTTCTAGGTCCACAAGATGAAGAAAAAGAGCATCAGACACAGACTGACCTTGTGTCCAGCTAATTTTTACCTAAGGGATTGAATGAAGCTACACTGCAGAAAAATGAACATCTCAATCTACCCCAGACTCACCAGGTGCAGAATCCACTGACTCTTCCACAGCTCACTCTGGGTTATGTGAAGGTTTATTAGAGTTTTCCTGCCATTTGTAACAGAAGCCTAACCATGATTTTTTCAGAAAACAGAAAAGGGAGGAAAGAAACCTGCCATAGAGGGATTCCAGCACAAACAACTCGTGTGCTCCTGCCTGAACCTGGGACTCCATCATTCTCCAGTGTCAGAACAGGACAGAAAATCCTCACTTGAAAAGAATCTAAACTGTTGCTTCTGAAAGTTGCACTTACATTTCCTTGTTTGACAAGATGAGAGATCCTTCTTTTTTGGCCAGGAAACAAGGTAGTTAAATTATCTTCTGTCTTTTCTTCAGCTCCTTCCTCTTTGGATACCTGGAAAACAGAAGAAGTTTCCAAAACTGAATAGACCTGAAGATCCCTCTCAACAAGGAGCCCTGAAAAGGTCCCTTGCCAGGAGGGACCTGGACCCCCTGCTCCTGCCAGCCACTCACACTGCCCCTTCCATGGCACTCTGAAAATCCAGGGGGGTGAGGGTTGGGGTTTTTTTTGTAAGAATTTGGAAGCTGACTCATTTCTAACCTTGTATAATGAAAGGTCCTGGAAACCTGCTCGACACCATGGTGCCCCCACTTCAGAGAGTCACCAAATGGTTTGGGTTGGAAGGGACCTTAAAGATGATCTAATTCCAATCCCCTGCCATGGGCAGGGACACCTCCCACTAAAAAAGGTTGCTACAAGTCCCATCCAACCTGAACCTGAACACATCCAGTGATGGAGCATCCACAGATTCCTGGGCAACCTGGGCCAGTGTCTCACCACCCTCAGAGTGAAGAACTTCTTCTTCATTTCTAATTTAAATCTCCCCTCTTGGAGGTTGAAGCCATCACCCCTGGTCCTGTCACCACAAGCCCACTTCACATTTAGGGAAAGGTTTTTGTACAGTTTTACCCCTGCCATATCTGCAGAAAGACAGCAGTGACAGATCCCCAGGTCACACACTGGTGTGGCCCAAAACCCTGGGGGAAGTAACAGCTCCTCTCCAGCTAAAACACCTCAGACTGGCTCCTGGGGAGGAAAACCACTTCAAAATCTCCTTTGAATTTGACTCAGCTCTTCATTTGTACAAGACACCCTTCATGAGTTTCCTTTCCAAACCTCCAGCTGCTCTCCACTCAATCCTGCTTTCCTTTTTCCAACACAACCCCCAGCAAAGCTCTGAGCAGAGAGGAGCCTGACAGCCTCTCAGAAATCCCTCGAGGGAGCTGCAGGCTGGATTTGGGGATGAGCTCAGGCTCCACTTGGGCTGAGCTGGTGTTCATCACCACGAGGGCATCCTGGAGGAGCACCACACACTGGATCACTGGGCTCTCCAGGAACTCAGCAACTCTGTTAGTTCAGTTATGACCCTAATAAACTCTCACAAAGTGACCCTTGTGGGTGGAAAAGCACCACACTGCCCACGTGTACCTGCTTCAGAGCCCAGACAACACCAGCTCCATCTAGAAAATAATTCCTGAACAACAAAAAAACCATTCCCAGGACCCATCCCACCCACCAGACACGCAGTGGGGAAGCAGGTACCTACTTCCAGAGACCCACCTCTCAAAGAAGGACCCCTCCACTGGTCCAAATGCTGCTTCCTCCCTTTCCAAACTCAATTCCAGTGCAGGGATACAAGGTCAAGCACGTGCAAAGGAGCCACACGTGGCTGCTGAGCACTGAACATTGCCACTCCACGCTGGAATTAACTGTTTGCAGCGAGTGGCAGCCCCTGGTTCAGCACTTTCTGAATTCAATCACCCCACATTTGGAAAGCTCTACACGGATTAGTATTTCCCACCATGGATTGTGTGCCCTTAAACTGTTTTCACTTAAAAAAAAACCAGGTTTTTTCTTTCTCACTGGGCAATTGGAAGAAATGAAGTCAAAAAATAAAGTGTTCTAGCCTAGCTGGGAATTCTACTAAACACTGAAGGAAGAGCAGTTGAATTTTAAACAAGGAAAATCAAGTCAAGCTTAATAGTTCAGAAGAAAATCATTACACTGAGCTGCTTTATGTAGTTTCTTCTACCAAGGATTTTGTGTGAGTGTTAAAAAAAAGGTCTTTCCTTGTCAGCAGGACAGAATTCTCTGTGAGCAGACATTATTGCAAGCGAGAGTTCAGCAAAAAGCATTAATAGTCCAGCTATTCTTTTCAAAAGAGGAGCTCTCCTCCCTGTGCTGCATAGCCCGGTGCACTTTGTCCTCCACACACAGATGGTCATGAATGGAAGAGTTTTGTTCATGGCCACTTCACCCACCCAACTAACAAAAGCCTGAAAACCAGCACCAATGTCTGCGGCTGGTTTTAGACTGAAAGTCAACAATGAATGGCAGCAGGAGAAACTCTTCCCATCACACAGCCCTGGGGCTCCTGCTGCAGCCATCCTGCCCCTCCTTCAGATTGATAAGCACAGGATCACAGGCTGGGTTGGGTGGGAAGGGAACATTAAAGCTCATCCAGTCCAACCCCCCTGCAGGGAGCAGGGACATCCCCAGCTAGAGCAGGGTGCTCAGAGCTTGGTCCAACCTCACCTGGGATGGTTCCAGGGATGGGGCAGCAACCACCTCTCTGGGCAGCCTGGGCCAGGGGCTCACCACCCTCAGCAGCAAACATTTCTTCCTTCTCTCCAGTCTAAATCTCCCTCTTTTAGTTTCAAACCATCCCCCCTTGTCCTGCCCCAGCAGCTCCTGCTCCCCAGCTTTCTGGCCGCCCTGGCAGCCCCCAGCAGGTCTCCCCAGCTGGAGCCTTCTCCTCTCAGCTGCCCCAGCCCAACTCTCTCCTGCTGGGCTCCCAGCAGAGGGGTGCCCCCCTCGGGGCATTGCTGGGGCTCCTCTGGCCCCGCTCCAGCAGGTCCCTGGCGCTGCTGTGCTGAGGACTCCAGAGCTGCCCCAGCACTGCAGGGGGGGCTCCCCAGAGACCCCAAACAAAGTCTTGCTGTGTTTGAGGGGGTCTAAGCTGTAACACTCTGGAAGCCTTGATGGCCTCCCAATACCTGGTCTACCTGTTGGATGCAGGACAGCAGCAGCTGAAGCTCAGCAGTGCCTTGGGGACACACACTTGTCCTCTGGTGCTCCCTCTCCCCCAGCACACAGAGGGCCCCTGATTTTGTCCCTTTGCCTCACTAAGCCTCCCAGGCAACACCATGAGCCAGACAAGTCAGGTGGCTAACACTGGATATCAGGCTGGTGTGTTTTCTCAGCATTGCCCCATTTGTCACCTTTTTCTGACACTGTTTCCAATCCCATTCTCTGAACACCTGCTCTGTACAGAAGCAAAACCACCCCAGCCAGAAGAGCTGGACGTGCTGGGTGGGAGCAAGACAAACAATCCTGCCCCAAACAGGGATCTGCTCATGGATTGAGGATTTGCTCCTGCTGCCCAGTCAGACTCAGGCATCAGAACATGAAGGACAAGTTTTGGTTGCTTCTACTTCCCTGACCAGATGCTGTGGAGGGGGTCCCTGTCAGCACCTGCTTTCTAACCTTTTACACTTGCTCCATTCTGGTTTAATCTTTGAAAATGAGGCTCTTACATCCTCTGGGGGCCACCCCACAGCCACTGGCAGAAGCCTCTTTATGTACATGCTGCCTTTGTACCTCCTTATTCTGAAACCCTTTCATCTTTTAAAGAAATGTTATGCTTTATTATCTACCTACACCACCTACCAGGCATCCAGAAATCCCCATAAAATACCTGCAGCAGGCATGTAAAATAGGAAATAGTAATCTGGGGAGTCTCCAAAGTGTCTGGTGCCAACTACATGGACTTGCTTGCACCAACACATTGTCCTGGCTCTGTGTGTCACCACCTTCCTTATAAATGATGCTGCAACAAGAAGGCACCACCCAGATGAGCAAATGTGGATTCGCTTTGAAGCACCCACAACACGCTCCCTGAAGCTTCTTCTCCAGCCATGCAGCCCACCATGCTCCTTAAGCCAGATGGAGACAGAAGTAACTGGTGATAACCCTGAAAGCTCAAGGCCTTCCACACATCAGGTGACTGAACCTTTGCTTTTCACAGCAGCTTTCAATCCAGCAGGTGAATTCAGGGGCACTCAGTTATGACAAGGATGAGATGCTTCCAACATACAGAGTCTCCCTCTGCAGCCCTCTTCAGCCACTTGAAACAAGCAACACCCCTCAACTAAACCAGGATCCCTTCACGTTGAAGAGGGAGAGAACCAAGCAGCCCAAACCAGCATTACCTGTTTCCCCAGCCTGCCCTTGTCTTCAGTTTTCACATCTGTAGATTCATTAAAAATCCTGAGACACTCTTCCATGGGATCCGACTCAAAGTCCAACTCTTTCTCAAGGATGGAATAATCAATGTCATCGGATGTGGAAGATGATGATGACTTGGACAATTTAGAACGTTTCACTTTCTTTGTCCCTTCATTGTCACTCTCAGAGTCTGACCCCGAGTCAGCACCGTCCGAGTCCGAGCTCACGTGAGGCAAGGTGGATGGCAGAGCCCGACCTTTGTCATCCTCATCCCCACTCTCATCCCCAAACAGGTCAGCGTGGCTCAGACTCTGCTGCTTCCCACCCTTCTTGGGCTCTCCTTTTTCTGTGGAACTGACCTTCTCCTTCTTCCTCTCCGGAGCTGGACTCTTGGTCCCTTTCTCTTTGTTTTTACCACCAGAGGTTTCTTTACCGTTTTTCACTTCAGCTGCTTTCAGCTTGGAGTCTTTTTTGCTGCTCCCCAGCTTCTCTGTGCTAGAGCCTTTGACAACTCCCTCACTCCTGCTTTTCCCTGAACTGCTGCTGCTGGCAGACTTGGATTTCTCTTTCTTCAGCCCATCCACTTTTTCTGACTTTTGTTTTTCAGGTTTCTTTAAATTCCCGTCGTTTTTCACTTTTACACTTTTCTCTTTGCAGTTTTTCTCTTCACTCTTGGTTTTTAATTTTTCTTCTTTCTTCAGCACTTTCTCTTTTTCTGTATTTTTACTTTTCTCCTTCTTACCAGCCTCGCTGGGGCTGGATGTTTTACTAACATCTGATTTCTTCCTTTTTGTTTTGTCTTTTGAGTCTTTGTTTTTATTTTCCATTTCTGGGTCGTTCTTACCAGAACCCAATTTCACTCCTTTCACATTCCTGTCTGGGAAGGTTTTGCCAAGATTTTTCTGTGGACCTGGAAGGTCTCCATGTGCTGCTGCTGCTTCTTTGCTGTCCTGGGAAGTGGAGTCACCCAGTTTGGAGCTCTGCTCTTTGGTGGGAAACCCATCGCTTGACTCGCTTTCAGAACCAGCTTTTGACTGTGAACTAACAGAAGTTGGCTTATAGTCCCCCTCAGCCTCATCTTCAGAAGAAGAGAACCTGGCACACACCTCATAGTCATCGGGGTCTTCACAGAACTTCTTTTGCAAGGGGGAGTAGGACTCCTCATAACTAGAGCCCCTGCCTCTTTTCGACCCCTTCGGCTCCTTTGTTGTGTCTTTGCTCAACAGCCTGGCTGAGTAATTTGAAAGTGGGTCATACTCCAAGTCTGTAGAAGGTTTAGAGTCATCAATCACATATTTGTTGTTAGTGACAGTGCTGCTGTATTTTTTATTCTGTACTACAGCCTTGGGAACATACTCCAGGGCGCTGCCTTTAGAGCGGGCAGTACCCAAAGTGTATTTGCTTGACTGGCCAGGAGCAGTGAGAGGAGTGGGGTTGTAGTCCGAGTTATTATTGAAGTTGTAGCTACCTGGGTTATACTCTAAAGAGGGAAACGAATCATTTTGCATCCCAGCAGCTGCCACGGGTGTATTTGAAATGAGTGAAGAGGTCTCTGAAGCACCAAACTCCTTCGTCGTTTCTAGAAGCTCCTCATACTTCTTCTGCTCTCTCTCAACTTCATTTTTGACTGCCTCGATGGCCTTGTTGACCAGCTCCAGCTCCAGAATTCCTGGAGTCACGTCGGTGATGTCAGCCAGAGCATCATCCTCCACCTCCAGGGAGGCCCTGGGGAGCTCTGGATTGTAGGGATCATAGCCTCGCTCTGTAAGAGAGAAAGAAAAGAACCATTTACTGCCACCATTTAGGTAGAATTTTCTTTGCAGTAAAATTTTAAAGGTCTTTTAAGATCTGCTCTCATCAAAGCTCAGTATTGAAAGACACTCCCATAAGCCATGTGCCCATCACCACAAAGTAAACGTTGGCCACCAAATGCCAGCAGGGATGTTCTCTGGCCAGCAGCTAGATTAGATTTTACAAACTACTCCTAGGTCCTAAGGATCTATTAACAAAGTGCTTTTATTACACATGGAAAAGCTCTATAAATTAAATATTCTTTGGGGCACCACAGAAGAATCACTGTATGAGGACCAAGAGGAGCCAAGTATGCACAGAATTGTCAGCTTAATTCAATGAAGTGACCAAGGGAGGAAAGAGGATTCCAGTAAGAAAAGGGCTACTAGCAAGACAAAACTACAGGTAGAAAGGCAACACCACTCAACCACACCCAACAGCCACCAAGACAGGAACACTGAACGCCCAGAACATTCAGCTGAGAGTTGGGTGGTTCAGCCTGGAGAAGAGAAGGCTCCAGGAAGACCTTACTGAGGCCTTCCAGTATCTGAAAGGGGCCTACAAGAAGCTGGGGAGGGACTTTTTGTAAGGGCTCGTAGTGACATGACTAAGGGTAATGAATTCAAACTGGAAGAGGGGAAATTTAGATTAGAAATTAGAGAAAAGTTCTTCACTCTGAGGGTTGTGGGACACTGGCCCAGGATGCCCAGGGAAGCTGTGGATGCTCCATCCCTGGAGGTGTTCAAGGCCAGGTTGGCTGAGGTTTTGAGCAAACCTGGTGTGGTGGGAGGTGTCCCTGCCCATGGATGATCTTTAAGGTCCCTTCCAACACAAACCATTCCATGATATCTCTTTTCTGACATTTCTTTTTTCAGACAAGTCCCTTTGCTGGCCTCCCTTTGTCCTGGTCTGCAGCAGAACAGAACTAAGTCTGTCCAGTGATTTTCCTTTTCAGCTAAAGCTCTTCTCACTGCACTTTCTGAAGTTCACAGCATGATTTTGCACACAGCATCTGCTTCTAGCAGTGATAACGTTCCATGTTTAGAGTAACCACCAAGGATTGGTGTACAGACCAAGGTCACTGCTAAACCCTGTGTACAGTAAAAGCCACATCTGCAGGGAGGAGAGGGCAGGAGAGACCTAGATGGACTGGTGGGGTATTCCATCCCATAACTATCATATTCAGGATAAGGCTGAAGGATCACGAGGGTCAAGCCCCTTCCTCTCTCTGGCTGCTTCTTCAACAGCCAACATCTGAGGAGGACTCCATCCATCCTGCCTTTGATCCCAAGCTGTGTGTTCTTGACCCTAGTTCCAGAATCCAGCTCCTGGACCCAGTCCCAGAATAACAGAGGAATAATAATAATAGGGAGCAGAATAACAGAGACTGTGTTAAAATAAAGGCAGTGGTTTCATAAAAGACTTTTTACCCCCTTGGGTTTGTGAAGTTTTCTTCCAAGCCAATTAGCTCCTGATTGAGTAGGGACTCTGGGCAATCCTAGTATGGTGTCACCATCTTCCAAAGGACAGTCTGAGCTGTGCTCAGGACCAGAAATGTGGAGAAAAAGGAACAAAGTGATATATTTCTATAACTAGCCCCCCTCCACCTACTGCAACCAAGAGACAGAATTTCCAAAACTTGCATCTCCTCTTCCCCATGACAAGGTCCAGCACAGCTCACACCCTGGGGCAGAGAGGGAAGGAGAAGGTGGCAAATGGGAGCATCTCTGTGGACAGCTTACATCAGACAGACTGATATCCAGAGCCTAGGTAGAAAAAGAAACCAGAAAGAAATGCAGGTAACAAGGGAAAACCAGGAACAAACCCAGGGGTGAGCAGCAGCCATCATGAGGCTGGTATATGCAAAACAGTTATCAGAATAATTAGGTATAAATATTAGCCTGACATCTGATAAAGAACAGAGAGCCCTCCATCCCTGGAGGGGTTTCCAAGCTGTGGAGAAGTGGTGCTGAGGGACATGGGTCAGTGGGGTCCTGGCAGTGCTGGGGGATGGTTGGACTTGATCTGAAAGGTCTCTTCCAACCAGAAGGATTCTATAATACCATCCACCTCCCTTCTCCTCACTTTGTGAAACATCAGCTCTGCTGTGGTAAGAGAGGAGCAGTGCAGGGATGTCTGGAGGAGTCAGCTATCAAAGCATTGTCCCCTAACTCAAGATGAAGACCTAAAATTTGGCACAAGCATTGTTAAGTGAGCAGCTGAAAGGCTGGTAATTTGAGCAGAGATAAGTGTTAGGTGGCCTATAAACAGTGGTGAGAACACAGAGTTTGGATCTAGAGACTTGCCAAAATAAAAGAAAAAATAAAAAAACACTACCACAAAACCCCCTAAAATACACAAAAGCCAGCAGAAAAGCAAACTGGTTTCAATATATCAGGATACAGAGAAAGTAGAAGACAACCTAAGCACAGACAAACCTGGTGTCTGATTCTCTGCTGTTCATCTCCAGTATAAAACTCATTTGCACATTTCCTTTCAACGGAGTAGCCAGATATAAAAAAGACATTCTAACCTCCACCAACACCAGCAGGCTGGGAGCCAGGGCCATGAAAGAGCTCTTTTGTAGGTGTGGAGGAGGCCTGATGGATTAATCAAGTGTTGCTGATCAAAGGCTGTTCCTAAGTGGGCTCCACTATACCCCCCAGGACTGTCACCTCTGGCCACGATGCATTTGCAGATAATGGAGCAGAAACACAAGCAGAAGAGGGGTTTATTTTTATATATATATATATAGACTCATACATAAACACACAGAGAAAGAGAGAGCCCTACACATACAGGTCCCCCAGGTCAGAGAAATTAAATATGCTGCTATCAGGCCACCTTCTCACATCCTCAATTACACTCCCAGGAACCCAAGAGATTTAAGGATGTCTGGGCAACAGAGCCCTGTGCCACACAGGCAGGCACCCAGCTACAGCCACACCCCCTCTTACAACCCAAATCCAACATTCAAAGGAGTCTCTGAATCCTTTGAATCCTTCTGCTGAAGCAGAAGCTTCAGATTCTGCATTTATCCTTCACTTCCAACACCAACACGAAGACCTGTGGTGTAAAGAAAGATCCCTAGGAGATGAGTTACATCAAGTTTGCTGAAGCAAAATGAGTCCCTGAGAGGCCCCATACAGTGGAATAAATCCTTCTGGATGGATGTAAAGCAGAGTTTACACCATCCTTTGAGACTCAGGAGATAATGAGAGTGGAGATGACAACTCCTTGTAGGATTGTGCACTAAGGTGCTATCAGGACACTGTAAAACACAAACTATTAGAATAAATTAAAGTACCTCAGACACACAAAACAGTCTGAGACACAAAAAGCTGAAGTTAACACCCAGACTATAAACCCCAAGTTATGAATAATTGATTCAACCTCCAACTACTTCAGAATGTACCAAAACAAACTGCCCCCAAATCAGCCCCTTCAGCACAGAGCACACACCAAAATACAACAAGATCCTTCCAAAATCCTGGGGCTGGTGGGTTTTTTTCCCTCATGACAGTGAAGCTGGTTTGGAAAAAGGAGGCCTCAGTTCTGAGGTGGAGCTGGTTTATGACAGAGCTCCTCTAACAAACCACTGCTGGTCGTCCACTGGTCCTTCTAGTTTGTGCAGCAGGTGAAGGCAGCCAACAAAGGGTGACTTTAAAGGAAGAATGGGGTTACAAGGTCACCTGTTTGATGGTAAAACTTATTTTACAGTGAATCATTCTGAAGAAAAAGACTTGGTTTGTGGTTTTTTTTTTTCCTTTTCAAGCACCTTACCAGAACACATACTTCAGATGCTTTAAATACAGAAAAGCCCAAACATATGATGGGTACTGGTTGGAACATGGAGGTTTTGGAAGAGTGAAGCTCCTGCAGATGTGGGACTTGGGTGACAACTACTTTCCTTGCAGACACAACAGAGCTGCTAAGCACAAGCAGCTGCTCCTAAAGGAAAAAAAAAGGCAAAAATGAGAAACTTTTGAATTTATGGCAATTAGAGGGGAGGGTTTGCTGGCCGAGAGGGACCAGCACAGCCCTGATCACTGAGCACTTTCAAGACCTGCTGCTCCTCAAGTCACCTATTTCCCTGGGTCACCTGGAGCTGGCAACAAAAGCTGCATTCATCAGGAGATGGGGAGGGCAAAGGCTGTGGGGAGGAGGGAAAAAAAGGCAATTTTATCTTAGTGTCATCAGGATAGCTTTGTTAGCCTAACAGCTCGCCCGTGTTTCCAGTGCCAGGACTCAGCAAATGCACAAACTTTGTGATTACAGAAAAAATGATCACCCTTGGAAAAGGATTTTAAGCTTCTCACTGAATATTTCCCAGAAGAGACAGTGGTTCCTCAAGAACAACACATTTCCAAAAGGCTTCACCAGCAGGCTGAGTTTTGCTGCTCTTCAGAATGAAGCAGCTCAAAAAGAAACAACAGGTTTGGGCACAGACCTCATGGGTGAGCACCCAAACCAAATTTCCAACAATTAATTTAACAATAAGATCCAACCACTTGGAAATAATTAAAGCTGAGATTTAAAATAGTACGTTTCAAATAATTATCCAGGGTAAATGGGTTAGGAGGGCACGTAAGAGGAGCTAAGAGGAATAGTTCTTCAAGTTTAAATGCAACCCTAGTCCTAATAACTTTTTATTTTGCTCCTTTAAAATAGTAAATTTATTTACTAAAATCATAGATAACGTTGTGCTGGTCTAAAAACACCAAAGAAGGCAGGTTGGAGAGGTTTTATGGCCAGTCTAGTCCAAGCTGCCCCCTCCCTAAGCACCCTGCCCCATGCAACTGTCACTCCCTAAGATGTATTCAATGCCACAGAGTCAAAGCACATCATGAACCAACGTGGTCATTTCTTCAGTGGAAAAAATGAAGCAAATATGAGAAAAGAAAGTCCAAAATTAGCAAGGCTGAAAAAAAAAAGTCTGAGCAGCCATTCATCATGCTGTGGCATTTTGAAACCTGCCGTGGCAAAGCTTGCTTAAGGTTTCCCCAGATGGTTTCCCCAGGTGGTGCCAGCCAGTGGAAGTGCCCAGTGCCACCAAGGGACTGGCCTGCTGGGCTGAGCTGGTTGACCAGCAGGGTCACTGGAGGGTGTCATGACCAGCCCAAGGAGGATGGATCCCAGAGAGGGACAGCAGCAGCCTGGCACTACCCTCCTCCAAGCCATGTTCTCCCTCTCAGCTCAGCTGCCCAAGCCTGGCTGCCAGGCTGTGGCCAGAGAGGAGACATGGACCTCCCCGTGGGGGTTCAGCCCAGCTGGGGAGCAGCTCCAACATGGGGACAACTCACTTGGGTAGGAAACTTGCTTTGCCAGGAGGGTATCAGGGCCCAGCCCTCAAAGCAGCGTCCAGGGAAGCAGGACACACCCCCTCATTTTATTCAAGAACACAACTTACTGCAATTTTGCCTCTGGCACAGCAGGAGAAGCACCTAAAAGGTCCTTGAGCCTTCTAAATATGGTGACTTCACTCACTTGAGAGCCTCAGAGATGGTCCTGGAGGATAGCTGGGACCTTCACCACTTCACACAGCCACACTACTTAAACCCAAGGGTGCAGAAGCCAGAATGAGATGGTCTGGCCCACACAAACACCACTGACATTCATCACTATGCCATCTGCATTCCTCCACCCCACCAGGACTCACAGTCCCACCCCCTCTTGGGGCTAAAACAGCAGCAGCAGCCAAAGAGCATCAGAAGCTTTCAAGAGCTGTGACAAATTCATGTTTCCCTCAAAGGAAATCACCCCATTGGTACTTTTCTCCTGTAAGAAAGGAAAGAATGTGAGAAACACAACTGGTGTGTTTGCCAGGAGAGGGGCAGAAAGCACCCAAAATATCCCAATTGCTCCCCAGCCTGTCACCACTCTGCCTGGAAGGTGCCCCATCGTTTTAGACTTGCTGACACATTCATCTGGATATTCAGTGTTCAGGGATCTTTCCATTCCCTCTCTCATTCTAATTTTAAAACTGTTCCTCGATATAGAAGAAAAGTGGAAATTCTGGGTGGGAAATAAAAAAATTAACCAAGAGTTCTTTTTAATGTTTCTGAGAAAAAAAGGCAGATCAAAAAACATCTCCCCAGCCCCTGCACGAGTGCTAGGTAAAACTAAGGATCTATTCCAAAATTTAACTAGCAGAGGAAGTCTCCTTTTCAAAGAAGCAGAAGGGGGGAAAAAAAAAAGACAAATTTCATGTATTGTGGTGTCTTTTATCTCTGTTCAACTCCACCCTGAAAACTCTCTTTGACCAGTGTGGCTAGCAGCAGTAACACCACTCCTCACCCACCAGCCCCTTCATTTCCCAGCCTTTCTCTGGCTTGCCCAAGATAAGTTATCTTCTCAACACCTGCCTTAGTTCTTTAACTAATTCGGGTGAAGAATCCTCATTTAAATGAAAAAAAAAAAGCCCAAAACACAAACCCTCCACATCCACAACAGCCACGACTTGGAACACCCAAGTTAAAACTAAAGCAAAGCGCTTCCCGAGCTCTATTACAATGAAAAACTTCAGAAAGGCCAAACCCCAAACTTAAACTGGTTTTAAAACCTGTCGGGCTTTAGTTAGAAGCTGGAATGAACACGTTGCAGCTCTTGACTCTGACACAGGGAGCTCCACAGGTTCTCCTCCCCAGTCCACCCCACGCGCTCCCCGATTCCCTTGAAAATCTCAGAGGGAAATGAAAAAGCCTCGTGCAGCTAAACCCCTCAAAGCAGAGCTGAGGGGTTATTTTTTGGGCATAACCCACGTATTTGAGAGGCAGATGGGAGCCTGAGGAGTGAAGCCTCATGTTAAACAAGGGGCTGACACGTGAAATCTTCTCTCCTCTCCTCAGCTGCTTCTTCGCGGCGCTGGCAACCCCCACGAAAACTCCAGAGAGAGTCAAAAAAAACACTTCAAAAGAATTACCTGAGCTCCCCGCGGTTAATAAATATTGCAGATACTTGTTCATGCTGGACTCCAGGCTTTGAATGTCTGCTGGGTGCTGCTAAGACCTGCCGGGGAAGGCTCATGGCACAGCCCCACTGACCGGCTGCTGACACAGCACTTTCTGGGCTGCTGAGATAATTGGGGCAGGACTTACCCACCCAAGGTCCCGCCTTCCCCCTCCCAGCTCCTGGCTCAGGTTGGGGTTTATTCGAGTCTCTCCAGGGGCTTTTGGGTTGGTTTCTTCTTTTCCTATTAGCATCTTGGGGGATTTTTTGGTGTCTTGGTTTCCCCGCTCGCCGACCGTACGTGGAGAGTTTTGTGTGTGCAGCAGCCTGGCCGGGGAGACCTGAGCCCACAGCACCCTCAGAACATCTAACCCACCCCCAGCAGGGTGCCCAGGGT